TTGTCGTCGACTTTCTCTCGTTCGTTTCTCTCTCCGTTTTCTTCGGTAAACATGGCGCTCGATGCTTATGCTTCGTCGAACCCTAATGAGGTTCACGCTGATGTTCTTCTCAAAGCTAGAGATTCTTGCTACAAGGTCGTTTTTTTTCTCTCTTTATGCTTTTCGTTGTTGTGATTTTTCGCGCTGATTGCGAATTGGTGATTAGGGTAATCTGTAATCGTTTCGAGTGATCACTAATTGCAGGCGAGAGATGCTTTTTACGCTTGTTTAGAAAAGGAATCTGGAAAGAAACCTACTGAAATTGGGTCCGTGGGTCTTCTCTACCCTAAGGAGTGTAGCAATTCTAGAACCGAGTTCGTCAAAAACTGCCGCTCCTCTTGGGTATCTTGTTTCTCTCTTTCTCAATTACTTCGCATTTCTTCATTTGCTTTTTTTCTTCTTTGGGTGGTTTGATCTAATGGAACAAATTGAACAATGAAGGTAAAGCATTTCGATAGGGAGTATTGTAGGAACAAGAGAGTTCAAAGGCTGTTGGATGATAAAGACGAGAGGAAAGGTCCAATGTCACTACCTCAGCCTTACACTTTCAAGCCCACTCCTTCGAATTAGATTCCTTCCTTTCCTGGTATCTTTTCTTTCTTAACAAGATTCAGTGTTTCTATCTTGTTACTATATGTGTTCTTGTTTGTTTGATATCAAAGTCGATTCTTGAACCTACCTACATCTTTGTAAATGCACACTTCCTTAGTGTCCTGTGTTCTCACCCCTGGTTTTAATGTTCGAGCTCTACCTTGTCTTTTGAGTAGATCACATCAAAATTTTCCTTCATTCGGTGTAGTTTTGGTTTGTCTTTGTCAGGTGTGTGTAGGAGGAGGATAACAATGCGCTCACTGAATGTTCCGGGGTTGCGATACCAATTATATTCCTGAAACATGGTAGTCATTTTCTTTGCCTATAGTAGGATTTTGTTTTATAGCTTCCTTAAAACTCTTGTCTTTATCTGAGTTATAAGTCTACAACATGGGAACAAAGAGGCGCATTTCAAGAATCTGATTTTTTTTTGCCTTTTACGTCTAATGACCACAACATTTGTTGATCAATATCAAGCATATACAGTACAATAAGCTTGAG